TGTTACGGTTTCTTTTAAGGGAGTCCCTAGTCCATTAACCTCTACAGCTTATTCTGACAATGGTGCAAAGAGGCTACAGACTTTTCGCGAAACATTTTGTCTGAAAAACAGTTTTATGAAGCACCAAAGCCCACACAGAGTAGTCTTCATTGGGACAGAGCTCAGATATCAGCCCTACGCTAAACGCTTACTGCAACGTGACCATTGGAAAAGCATGTGCAGGCTCCCTGCCCCATATTACTTCTGTAGAAAATGAGAATTCCTAGCATGTGGCTACAGGCAAGGAATTGTAAAATGTATATTGTCTATCTGCTCTTCATTATGATGCCTAAACAGCCAATAAGAAGGAAGTCTGGGAGTAACTTCCTAGGAAGCAAGAGCTTTGATTTCAGAGTTACCTATTCTACAAACCACTTCATCACCTGATATACTATCAATGATCATGGCTACATGTATAACTGGAAGAAGCGTATAGTAATAGTGGCTGCACAAATCCCATCGAGAATCCATAATTAGGAACGTTTGGCTTAGAGTGCTGGGCTAACCCTAAGCTGAACAAAATTTACATTGATTACTCCTGCCTCAGTGTACAAATTTCAAATATTCAGAACTATAAGCTCAGCACATAAAAGGGAATTAAACATTCAGTAGCAGTAGCCTAATGCATTTTAATCTTCTGACAGTACTAACTCAAATGCACAAAAACAAGAATGCTAGATAAAATTGTTCAAAATAAAAAGATGATGGATGGATCCATTGCTGTTTGAGGTATCTGGAACAAGGAAATCAGGTGAAAAGGAACATCGTACTTTTTATTTTGCTAATATGTGTATATTGACACTTTCTAGAAGTGGTTTGCTAGGACACTTCTTCAAATAAGTTATCTGGATGTTAAATATAACCTTTTCTAGGAAAAACAAAACACTTCAGTTTGGCATAGAGCCCAGACTGAGTGGTACACCTGAACACACTGATGTCTACATACCTTTAAATTGTATTGGAAGAGGTTCTGGAGTTAAACAGGGACTGGTTAAATCAGCATTGCACTGATATTGCATTTTATGAAAGCATAGGTGATGGAACCTTTTTCTGCGTTCATTTCGACTGGTTGTCTACATTTCTTGCTCCAAAGGGTTTTATGCCTATGTAGGCTTTCTATTGTGATTTGTTGCACATTCTTGTGACATTGCTTAATATGTTTTTATACTCTATATTATAATAAATTGTGCATTATTTTACGAATTGGTTTTTTTTTCTCCCTTTTGTTTGTTGAGAATACTGACTACAAAACTGGTAAATATAGTGACTGTGGCACCCTGTTTTTTTGTATAGGTTTTATCTCTACAGTGTGTCATTATGTTTAAAGGGACACTATAGTTACCAGAACAACTACAGCTTATTGAATTTGTTCTGGTGAGTAGAATCATTACTTTCAGGCTTTTCAGAGAAAATGCAGTGTTTACATTACAGCCTAGTGATAATTTCACTGGCCACTCCTCAGATGGCTGTTAGAGATCCTTCCTGTGTTTGAATCGTGCTGGCTCTGCCCCTAATCTGCCTCTTTGTCAGTCTCAGCCAATCCTATGGGGAAGCAATGTGATTGGATCAGGCTACCACTTCTGCTGATGACAGCAGGCAGTGGGCAGGTCAAAAGGAAACTGGGACAGAGTCAGCAGCTCCAGACTTGAATACAAGTAAAATTTTACTATATTTAGTGAGGCATGAGGGTGGCTAGACGGTGGTTTTAACCCTTTATGGTCATGAATACATGTTTGTGTTCTTGACCCTATAGTGCTCCTTTAAAAAGGTTGGGAGTGACCTTTAGACAGAGGCTTGCCTGCATTTACTTATTACTCACTCCACCCATCCACTAACTGTTGTTTTGTTTCCACCAAATTATTAACCATGCCTTTAAAGGACAATTGTCATCAAATGTCCACTTTTTATTTATAGTTTTACATTTAATGAAAGTTTGATATGTTTTTTTTTTTTTTCCCAATTCTTTATTTTTGCAGTGCGAGGTTAACATACATGACGATAATGACATTTTGTTAAGATTATGGATTAGTGTAAAATGTGCAGCACTTTTTTATATTCTAAAGTAGAAGAGAGGAATGTGTGTCAAGTACTAAATAGATTAATATGCATTCTAAATTCTAAGCTGACATCACACTGCATAACATTCTATGAAATAAACCACCAATTGTTGGAAAGTTTGATATGTTTTTAAATGTCTTTTATTGACTTATTTATTGTTTTGAGAATTTAACATTTCCCCTAATCTGCAGCCATGTTGGCCAGACTTGGTTATCTGACCAACTGCTGCTCAACCTAACCTAAATCAGAGCCTGATTCAATATCAAGCTGAGCAGTGATGAAGTGAAATTTCAATATACTTAATTTAAAAAGAATAACAGGTCTCCCAACCAATAATGTTTTCTTAGGCAAATCTATGAGGAATTCATGCTAACTAGTTTAGGGCATATTGAACCATGTTGTCTAATCTTCCACTTGCTTTTGCGTTTTGTCTAGAAATCTCAAGACCACCGTCAAATTCTCACTTTTTTTTTTATTTTTTTTAAATAGTTCTTTACATTTTGTGAAACTTGATTTCTTAGCTTTATCATTGCAGATATGTGCAATTAAGATAGTATATTGGTCTTACTGATTCTGTTAGGGACATTTGCTTGATAATGGAGTTGATAGAAAAGGAGGATCGGTTTAAGATTCAGATCCTCAAAATGTCAGGTTATTGCTTAAAGTTTATCTTTTGGACTCTTTATTTCAATATTACACACTATGTCAACTTATCTGTCTTCTAGATATTAGTGGTTCCACCATCCTCTGGACCTAGATCCAGGATGGACTCTTATTCAGAGGATATTCATGAATGTTATGGTTTTAAAATGTCCTCCTCATGCCAAAGCTCTTTTGTGTTGCTTGAAACATAGAATGTGACGGCAGATAAGAACCATTTGGCCCATCTAGTCTGCCCAATTTTTTTAATACTTGTACCCAATTGTACAGCACTACAGAACTTGCTGGCGCTATATAAATAATAAAATAATAATTGGTTACTGGCCTTATCCTTTTTTTAGGATAGCCTTATGCCTATCCCACACATGCTGCGGAATTTGACGGCGCTCTACAAATATAATAATAATGCTTAAACTCCCACTGTGTTGACCTCTACCACTTCAGCTGGAAGGTTATTCGATACATCCACTAACAGCTCAGTAAAATACTTCCTGATATTTTTAAACTTTTTCTCCCTTCTAATTTAAGACAATGTCCTCTTGTTGCAGTAGTTTTTCTTCTTTTAAATATACTGTTCTTTACTTCCCTTTTATGTAGTTAAATATTTCTATCATATCCCATTGTCGTGTCTTTCCTCCAAGTTATACATGTTAACATCTTTAACCTTTCCTGGTAAGTTTTACTCTGCAATCCATGAACCAGTTTAGTAGCCCTTCTCTGAACTCTCTCTAAAGTATCAATATCCTTCTGGAGATACGGTTTTCAGCACTGCGTACAATACTCCAAGTGAGGTCTCACCAGTGTTCTGTACAATGGCATGAGCACTTCCCTCTTTCTACTGCGACTACCTTTCTATAAAACCAAGCATTCTGCTAGCATTTCCTGCTGTTCTATTACATTGTCTGCCTACCACTCTGCCCTTGGGTTTTTACACTCAAGATACATTATCTTGCACTCATTCACATTAAATGTAAATTATCAAAGCTTTGACCATTTTTATAGTTTAAATAATTTGCCATTTGGCTTATCACTCCTGGAACATCAATCCTGTTGCAAATCTTTGTATCATCTGCAGAAACGTAACTAGAAACAACGTTGCTCTAGTGCGAAAATTGTCCTGGGGCCCCCCTGTAAGTCAACACCCCATACGTTACCCTCTCCCCCCACACACGCACACACCCCCTTTCCCAGGGGTGGCTCAGGCTGAGCCCACTCTGACCATTTCCTTCCTCCTGCGCTGGCTCCCACTGGTTGCTGGGAGGAAGTGACCGGGGCAGTCACTTCCTCCCAGCCTCTGACATCATCAGAGAGGGGCCCGGTCGTGCTGTTAAAGCGCTGACCCGGCCGACTGGAATTACATAGCATCAGCTGGCCCTAACAGCGATGGCCTTCAAAGCGGCCCCGGCGGTAACACCACGCGGGCCGGGGCCGCATTACTCAGCTGGCGGGACATGTGGTCGCAGTGGTCTGCGGGGTGGCCGGGCCCGGTTGCAGCTGTGACGCCTGCAGTAGTTCTGCCACTAGTCATCACCAAAAAGACATACCTTACCATCAAGACCTTCGGCAATATCACTAATAAAAATATTGAAGAGAATGGGTTCAAGTACAGATCCCTGAGATACCCCACTGGTAACAAGACCTTACTTTGAATATACTCCATTGACTACAACCCTCTGTTGCCCGTCACTCAGCCAGTGCCTAACCCATTTAACAATATTGTATTCCAAGTTCAAATATTGCAGTTTATTGATAAGCCTTCTATGTGCAACAGTGTGAAAAGCCTTACTGATATCTAGGTAATCAATGCCTACTGTACCACCCTGATCTATTGTTTTAGTTACCCAATCAAAAAAAAAAAAAATCAATAGATTAGTTTGGCATGAGCGCCCTGAAGTAAACACATGTCTCTGATCTTGAAATCCATGTGATTTTAGATATTCGAAAGTAAGGCTTACTGGCCTATAGTTGCCCCACTCCTCTCTTCCCTACTACCTTTCTTGTGAATTGGCACAACATTCACTAATTTCCAATCTTCTGGGACGACTACTGTTAACAATGATTGGTTAAATCCGTTAATGGTATTTTAATAACTTTGGGTGTATCCCATCAGGCCCCATTGACTTATTTATCTTTATTTTAGACAGCTGAAATAGAATCTTTCCTCTGTAACAAATGACTTGATCTTTTTTTCCTAACGGAAAGGCTTTTGTCTTTCCCAACTTGGGATCTGTCTGTGGTTCCAGAAGTATATTGGACTTTGAGAAGTTGGTGCAGTTTTATCGTGTTTGCCTGTGTCAGATGACTCCAGCTATTAACACAGCTAGGGTTATTCTGCTGAACAGGCTGCTTAATATAGTACTAACAGTATATCCTTGAACTGTATTACTCCAAATATTTAGTACAGGATATAAATAAAAATTACTTTAAGATCGTATAAATTGGTCTTAAATGTTGTTCTACAAAATCGTAATGAGACAGCCACTCGAGGCTGGATTAACACTGCAGTGTAAACATAGCAGTTTCTCTGAAATTGCTATGTTTACAGCAGGCAGGGTTAACCCTAGAGGTACCTGGCACCCAGACCACTTCATTAAGCTGAAGTGGTCTGGGTACCTATAGTGGTCCTTTAAGACCAATTTGGATGATCTTAAAGTAATTTTTATTTATACCCTGTACTAAGTATTTGGAGAAATACAGTTCAAGGATATGCTGTTAGTACCACGTTAAGCAGCCTGTTCAGCAGAATAACCCCAGCTGTGTTAATAGCTGGAGTCATTTGACACAGGCAAACACGATAAAGCTGCACCAATTGTATCTAAGTTCAATATTCTTATGGTGATGTATTTTCAAAGACTGGGACTTGAATAATACCATCACTTTGGGACTAATACATTGTAACACATTGTGATATCAACTGGCACTTTTTTGTCTTTAAAGACGTTATCCATATTTCTTAAAGACGTATTCCATATACCATAACTACTTCTGGTAACCTATTAGATTTCATCTAAACTTTTTTTTTTTTACTTTTCGTCTTGGTTTTAAGTGGGAGCCTATCTCTCCAGTAGAGTCTAGTTATACTGTATCCTAATCTGAGCGAGAACCTTATTCTCAACTATACTTGTCAGAGGAAGTACCTTTGAAAATTCTATCACTTAAGAGGGCATTTTTGGTGACAATAACTCCTGCAAGAAGAAATGGGAAACTTCAGGCTCTTTCATCATAAACAGAATTTACTGTTTTCCACCAAAACAAAGTGGTATTGCACCCAAGACCTATTATTTTACCATCATTTTGCCAAGAACAAGCATCTGAAGCAGGATGGAAATGGCATCTCCTAGATGTTAAAAGAGCCTTAGAAATCAATCTGCACAGATCAGCTGATTTCAGGATATCTGATCATCTTTTTGTTAATTTTCAGGGTTAATTTAAACGTAAAGAGGCTTCTAGGCCTTCTATCGCTAGGTGGCTTACGGAATCTATAAAGGTAGCTTATGAAGTCAGTCAGATTCCACTGGCATTTTTCACAAAGGATCACTCTACGAAGGCAATGGCTACATCATGGGCAGAAAGACTGGCTGCATCTTCAGATATCTGTGAAGCGGCTACTTGGACTTCATTCCATACCTTCATAAAACATTACAGGATGGACATTTTCTGACTCTAAAGCTGCTTTTAGGCAAAAGGTGCTTTAAGCAGTGGCCTACTGGTATTCCCACCCTCATTTTGTTGAAGAGAGTTTGTTATATCTTGTTTCCAGTACTGCCACTACATGTTCGGAAAAACAGCATTTTTTTCTCACAGCGATGCTTTGATTCTATTGATCTCTTTGTAGAGTTGCGGATTAGCCAGGGCGGTGTTTGGCTCCACCCCCAGCACGCCTCCTTGGTTGAGATCATCAGAATTGACAATCTCAGCCAATACAATGTTTTCTTATGGAAAGCACTGTGATAGGCTAGGATCATCACTTCTGATGATGTCCGCCAAGGAGGCAGATCAGGGGCAGAGCTAGCATCAGCAGACTCAAATAAAGGTAATATTTTACTATATTTAGGGTGGTAAGATGGGCTAGTAAATTATAACACTATATGGTCAGGAATACATGCGTGTTTTCACTGTAAATTCCATTTTCCTTCGTATAGTAGCAGTACCAGATTAGCATTTCACCTTCCAAGTGCTTTAATATCCCAAACGCAAAAAGGTGTTATCTGATACTTGACTGTTCAAGTTCACTAGTCGTAATTTTCATATGCCTCTTCACTTCCCTGAGAAGTTGTTTCCTTAGGTGACACTACCTGAGCTACAATATTGACCAGAATCACACTTTAACACAGTTTATTACCCAAGTCAACCCTAACCCCAATGGTATAGGGATTCCCTCAGCTCATGTGTTTACTGTTTAAGCAGTGGAAATTCCTCTGCTTATGTCAACACTGAGTGCTCTATATTGTGTGATTGCAGCAGGAGAGGAAGAGTACTCGTAGTAACAACTGCAGAAGAAATTCCTTGCAGTTGTGATAACTGATGCTGATAACGGACATTATAGGCATCAGAGCCACTACAGCTTATAGCTGGCTGAGAAAAGGCAGTGTTCAGATTGCTACCGAAGTCTGTCTTTCTTGGACAACCAGTAGAAGGAATAACTGGGTTTTGACCTGCAAAGATTGCAGGACCAATGTTCAGCATTACCACAATCTGCATAAAGATACACCGACTCAATGCCTGGGAAGAAAGAGTAAAGTGTTTTTGGGATTTCAGGTGGGCGGTGGTGGGTCCTTTCATCTACCTTGCCGGCCCATGCAGAGCCAGCCTTGCTGTAAGCCCTCTCGTGCTGGTGAGGAGATCAAAGATCTCCCTCACCGGCCTGCTGGCACTTAGTTCCAGCAGAGGGAAAGAACGGCCTGGGAGGCTCTGTGTTCCTCCCGCGAGCAGGCTAGCTGGAGAATTGCCGTGCTTTACCATGGCAACACACCGATAGAGTGCTGTGTCTGAAGGAGGACAGGAAAGTCAGCCTGCAGCCAGAGGAGCTGCAGGCTAAAGTGAACATGCCACTATCGGACCACCAGGGCTTGCAGCATTATGTCCTCCCTGGTAAAGGGTAAGAAGAAGGCAGGGGGAGACATTAAGATAGATTTTCACATCTCACTCAGCTACACACAGCATAGACCCTATGTACCACTCACACACACACAAGTTACCCCCCCTTTTGCAGACTGCCCCGTCACATGCACTGCACATTACACCCCACACACACACACACACACACACACAAAATAAAAAAGTAGAATAGGAAAAAATAAAAATTGAAATTTAAGTACATATTAAAAACAACCCTTCTTTTTAAAAAAAAAAATAAACAAAAAATTACAAAATCACACTTGCGCTATAAAATTAGTTACTGACGCACTAGTGGGCGGTAAGGACATTTTACCATCAAAGATACAAAAGTGGGCGGTAGGGATTAAAAGGTTGACTATCCCTGGTGTAGGCTTTTGAAGTAAAGTTTCCGTTTGTAGTAAAACTTTTTTTTTTTTTTTAATTGTATTAGTTATATACACAAACAGTATGTGTGTCTTGTTTTTTTTAAATAAAAAAATAAATTCATAACGCTTCTATCTGAAGATCAAAACAGTGTACTCGGACACTGTCCCTTTATTTGGATTTCTCCAGACCACTGAAGCAGATACCGAAATGATATTTCACAGTGTGCTTGGTAAAATATGTATAAAAAAAAACCTATAAAATAAGATTAAAATTGTTGTTGTAAAGTACACCATTTACAAAAGAGTTCACATATTGATCTTATGCCTTTTGAATAAGACATCTACTTTTCTAGTTTACTCTTCTTGACAGTTGGTTCACCATTTGTGTTTCTTTGGTCACTTAGTGAGTTAAAGCCAGGTATCTGTAAAAAAAATAAAAAAATAAAATAAAAATATGGGTTACCACACATTCGCACAAACAAATTTTAAGCCAAGAGTTTTTCCTTTACCATTCTCTTTTGCATGGACAGAGACATAGGCTCCTCTCATAGGTCAATGTAATTAGAAAGACAACAAAGGAAATGTTTCCCTGACATCCTCCTACCACAAACAGAGATATGCCTGTGCAAAGTAAGATTAACAAACAACTGCAGGCAGAACATGTCTGCTTAAAACAGAATCAGAGACTAATATATTTAGATGATAATGCCCTGAAAAAAAAAAAAAGTTCTAAATATTCCAAAATATTGTGTTGTATATTTGAGATGTCTTTTTTTTTTTTCAGCCAAAGACATTGACACTGCACATGTAAAATGAGCGGTCACTGTCACTGGATCCTTCCTCAGCCAACTGCAGATTGCAATGCAGAACACCTTCTTCTGTTTTCTAGGCCCAGTCAAGGACAACAGTAGTTTTGAGAGTGTATCTAAAGTTTGGAAGCCTTGGGCCACTCTGAAACTGGGGAAAAACAGCAATGCTTTGACCTGGAAATTGCATCAGAAAATATTTTAATCCAATAACATCTTGCAATCTCCAGATTCAAGAAACAAACAAGGGCTGCGAACTATAACTTCTTGTTACTCGGCTGCAGAACCTGGGAAAATCCATACTAAAGAACATCTGGAAGCCGTGGAATGGAGACTGTGTTAAGCAAACATCATGATTAGAACCTTTTCTAGACCTTATTATATCATCTAGTGGAAATGACACACTCCTGTCTCTTGAAAAGTTTAACTACTTAGGATCTTCCATTCAGCCGTCACACTGAAATGGCAGGAGACTTTGGGTTGTAATGCTAATTGAAGGAGAAGGTCAGATCTTGCAGAACCTGGTTTTGTGGCCAAATGTATATCCTCATAAGATCAGAACACCAGCTTCTTCTTGACCAAGGGACATGAGAATGACATCTGCTTCCTCCTTGAATGTTTTCAGAATGACTCTTTGCAGCAGAGGCAGTGGAGGAAAAATGTATTTAGGAAGTATAGACAGATGATTTTTCTGGCCAAGATATTGATACTACATGCATACAATGAGACAGTAATGTGATGCAGACAAGTCAGCACTCCTGATCATCTAAGCTAGTTAGAGCCCCCTTTCAGTACAGGACTGACCAGTGCACACAAAGCTAGTAGGAGCAGACTTGGTGTAGGTCACCAAATGTTTTGGTTACAGGAAGCACAATTTCAAATTAGCTAGTAATGAAAAGTACTGAATGCAAGTTATTTTTAAAGGGTTACTTTAACCACCATGACCATGAATGTGTATCTGCAGCGTTTCTGTTTGAAATATATTCACTTTTGTGCCGAGGGCTAGATATACCTCTGGTACATGTGATTTAGGCAACCTGGAACTCTGTTCCATACTGCGTAATGTTAAATCTGTCTATAAAATACACCTCCACAAATTTATAATAATTCCTCCCGTTTTTTTTTTTCTTCTAATCTTCCCCTCCTCTGTACACACGCCCCACTCCCTCCCTCCCCCTCCTAGCTCAAAGTGCACATATGTGCTCTGAGCTGTTGAGAACAAGAATGGTCTAATAAAAATTAAAAAAAAAGATTTTAAAATTAAACATGCTGACCTCTGGTTCCACTAATGCCATGCGGATCTTCTGATGTTGGAGGTTAGATGCATCCAATGTGATTTTCACTTTTACTTTGTCAAACATGTAAAATGTGGTGTTTTCTACTTTCAAGGAGGGAATCTAAACAAAAAGAAAAATATTGCATATGATGTGGATAAGTTAGTTTCAATACTTGTATAATTTAGCATGTGCAAATTTTAAAATCAGATTACAATTTGACACAAAAACTGCTGGTGTTCACATCCAATTAGAGTAGCTCTGTCACAATCTTCTTCTTCAGCTCCTGGTACTTTATCTGCCAGGAGATTGTGATGCAAAAGTACTCTGACCTACTCTCAAGATGGATAAGAATTTGCCAGTCTGCAACAGCTGTCACCAGCAATGGGAACTGACAAAAGTTCAAGGCAGAAGTTCCACAGTTTGCAAACAAGAACTTGGAAAACTTACTGGTTGTTAAAGGACCACTATAGGCACCCAGACAACTTCAGCTCAATGAGGTGGTCTGGGTGCCAGGTCCATCTAGGGTTAACCCTGCAGCTGTAAACATAGCAGTTTACATTAGGGTTAATCATGCCTCTAGTGGCTGTCTCAGTGACAGCCGCTTCTGATTTTCACAGTGAGAAGATGCTTGCGTCCATAGGAAAGCATTAAGAAATGCTTTCCTATGGACTGACTGAATGCGTGCGCGGCTCTTGCCACGCATGGGCATTCGTCGAAAGAGGGAGGAGAGTCCCTAGCGCCGAAGGAACCCAGCGGGAGGGGGGCCATGAGGGTGGGGGGAACTATTGACACTATAGTGGTCCTTTAACCTAAAGCATTAGTAACCAATACCACACAATTCACTTAGACAAATGTAGATTTTTTTGGGCAGTCACTATAGAGCTCACTGACCAATCTTTTCACTTTCACAATTTTAGATTTTTTTATTTGCATGCACTGTAATTTGTTTTATTTTGTTTGGGAAACTGTAATTTTTTAATTTAACCCCTTAAGGCCAATGATGGTCTATCATTAACTGTAACAATCTTGTATTCAAGCATTGCATTCACAATGGGATGTCCTGCTCTACAGTAATGCTGTTCAGATCTGCCAGTACTAAACAAGCAGAGCATACAATGCTGGCTGATCACGGTTACAAGAAGCAATAACCAAACTCCAAACCGCAATGCTTTTTTTTAAACAGGCAAAAGTAAATAAATATTTCATGAAAAATTTATCCATTTACACAAGATTTTCATGTTTTAGATTTTTACAGCATATTACAAGCTACAGCAACACGGTCAATAAATACTTCAGTCCATTTTCGTTAACTTCCCACCACTTGTTTTGCCAATGTACCTCCAGATCTCCCCCTTAAACATGCTGCTACTAACCTCATCATTGTAAACTAGAAGTGGCTTCCTTTTATCTTTTTCCTCAAAAAATACAGTTCCTTCTAACCCAAATCTTGGAATTAAAACAACGATTGCATTCTTTCTCACAAATAATATATATCCTTCTTCGGTCACTATCCCCTTGGTTTTGAAGAAGAGCTGTAATAGGGAAAGTAATAAAGAAGCATATGATTAAAGTTAATATTGAATAAGCAAAATTGAGAAACAATTACATAAGCAGTGATTATGGAAACTGTCACGGTTTGTGAGTCTATTGAGGTTATTCTTTCAATCCTCCACTAGTCCCAATTCCAGATGTGCAGAATATAGTGAAAGTGTTCCCTTTGTGTAGAGTTTCCCCAATATAATGGATGCAACCAGTCATATTGGATAAAAGCAGTAATCTGGACTTTATTAGGCTACACTCATTTTTCTAATACAAAATCAGAGGTTTCCTTCCCACAAGCAGTGGTGTATACTGGTTTTGTGCTGCCTTAGGCAGACACACACACACACACACACTTTAAATTTTTTTTTAATTTTTTTTTTATTCAACCCCCCCAGCCTCCTTCCCTTTGGGAATGCTTGGGGGAGGGGGGTGAGGAGAGGGTTCTCCTTTTCCCTGGGGGTCCAGTGGGGCAGGCGGCGCTGGCGAGGGAGCACTGATTAGTGAGCTCTCTGCTCAGCTCCCACGCGCGCCGCAGAGTGATGCCGGGAGCCGGAATGTAACGTCATATTCCGGCTCCCGGCATCACTCTGCGTCATCCGAGGGAGCTGAGCAGAGAGCTCACTAATCAGTGCTCCCTCGCCAGCGCCGCCCGACCAACCGGATTTTTTTGTTAGCCGCCAGGCTAACAAGACATTTGCCCTGGGCATTTGGGGACGGCTTTTTTTGCCGGAAAATGTCGCCCAAGGCAAATGCCTTATTTGCCTCGCGGCTAATACGTCCCTGCCCACAAGCCATTGTGTTTGAGAGATAACTGAGCTCCAATTAAGCTAATCCAAGTATCTCTCAAATAGGAAAACTTATATACAATTTTTACATATCACAAAAATGCATGACAACAGCATCAGAACCGCACAATAATAGCCCTGATCTGAGCACACAACATATCCAAAAATCGCTCAGATTGGTTCAGTAAAATGAAAGTTATGTTCGTACATATATGAACTGGCTACAAAAAGATATCTTTTATCCCATTCTGAAGAAGCCACTTATGGTGAAACGCGTTTATGGTTATTAATTCTGTATTTTACTGTGTATTTTAGATCAATAAAAGTTTTTTGGCTACTTTATTGTACCAATCCTCTTTTTATTGCACTCTTTATGCACTTTAAACAACTTTTGTTTTTACCTATTCCTGGCATTTTAACCTTTCCTGGTTACTTTTACTTCCATTGGCAATTTTAAAGTTCCAGTACTCCAAGAAATCCTAGGTGGGGATCATACCACCGGCGCCTATCCATAGAGCAGTACCTCTGCTCTATCTTTGTGAGTATTATTTTATTTTCTCTACTACTCTCTTAACCTATCACAATTGAGAGCACTATTGCTGCTTTTTATTCTTCTATATTGGAGCCTTGGATCACCAGACGGTGCTGACGGACGTATCGCCGCTACATATCCTATAAGCGGGGATTATACCGCTGTACGCTATCCACACCAGAGCTGGCCATAGCTCCCTCAAATGTGAGTTTTTTACCTCTTCTTATCTGCACATTGAACCACATCAAAATTGAGAGCACTATTGTTGCTTTCTGTCTTTCTTTTTCGAGCTCTGGACTACCAGACGGTGCTGACGGAGACCCCTCCCTACATATCCCATAAGCGGGGATTATACCGCTGTACGCAATCCACACCAGAGCTGGCCATAGCTCTCCTGAATGTGAGTTCTTTACTTTTTGTTACCTATCACACCCTGAACTTTCATACTATACCATTAGTCGCCTCTACCTCTCTTGTATTTACATATACGGAACGGTCTACACCAGACGCATCCACAGAGGAACTCTATCAAGTATCCTAGACCATCTATTGGCACCCTAGCAATACTTTACTGGACTATCTACCCTTATTTGGCGCAGCCCTTCCATATCTTTTTGTATCTATCCACCGAAGGACCCGAGGGGTTTTCCTTCATTTGGGTTGCTGCCTACCTTGACTAATTTTGTGATTACTAGCGCTGAATTCTTTTTGTGTTTATATATGAACTGGCTGCCTGGTAGAGGTGGTATTGTCAATTTCAAAAGGGATTAATTTGATTGTGTGGGAGGTCAGAGTTTACAACCTAAATTCCTCTCTGAAGCTGGGACCCCAGCAGAGCTACTCTGTAAGGTGTGAGAAGTCACACATAAGTGGCCTGGAAGTCTTAGTTTATACTGAAACCACTCTCATTTGCCATATGTCTTGATTCCATCTAAGATAAGGAGTCATTAGATATGAACAAGCCTTGTGTTCCAATATCATAACCAAAAGAGACATTAATACGTATCCACAGATTAATACTTAAGCCTCATTTTATCATATTTAGAATGGGACAAGCACAATTTTCCAATCAAGCCTAAACACGATTTGCGAACAAAGGGACCCCACAGAATCTGTTCGGTAACCGAACAGAAGGGAACAATTCCATTAGAATGCAGGGAAACAGACAATACAAAGTATAATTAAGGGAACACTTATGAGGAGTTCCATCTCCCATGACAGAAACAAATTGTGTATATGAAGTAAGCAGTATTGACATGGCAATGCTTTTAAAATCAGCCCTAGAAATGCTCTTAATACATAAATCCCAGGGTACGCTTAGAAGACCAAGCTGCAGATGGCAAAAGGAGCTGGTGGCAGAGATAATTCTCATTTAAATAAAATAATTTACAACTACAGCTACTGAAGATACGCACTGATGAGAACAATTTAAAATGTGAACATAAAATAACTAAATTTAGCAGTTTATTTTTCGGAGGTTTAAAAAATAAAATGTAGAAACCTACAAATTTATCCTAGAAGTGGGCACCTCCCCATTTTGGCTCCCTGCGAATCATAGTTATAAAGGTCTTCTTTTCTATCGAACATAATTAACAGATGAGTAGAAATTGAAACAATGCTTCTGTTCACCTACTCTTTTAACTCATTTGCATGGTCTTGTGTGGACCGAGATGGGTTGTGATGTAATTTACTAACTCTGTAAAAGAACACCACAAGCACTATAACCACTGTTGATTGATTATGATAGCAGGACTGCACTGATATGTATCAAATCATTTTTTGATTACATCAGGCACTGATGGCCACAGTCCTGTATCGGACCTGCTTAACCCAAGACATCACGCAGGAAAAACCGGAAGTGGTGTGGACACCAGACAGATCCAGATAATAGGTCAAGCTGTTCAAAACTGGCTCGACAACTCTGGGAGATGCCAGGTCACTCCTGGCACCAATATGACAATAGCTGTCTGTAGTGGTCATGGTGCTTGGAATGTTATTTTAATACATATTTTACAAGAAAATAGATCACATGGAAAAATGGTTAACATGAATTATAGGTGATTTCCATGGTGTTATTCAATGGTGGAGTTTCCAGAGCAGTGACAATTCCGCTTTAAATATCACGACATATTTGCAGTGTGAAGTGCTAAACAACATTTTTTTTTTACCTTAGTCACTGCAAATTTTATAGATTTTTTTTTAATATTTAATAGTAGAACACAAGTCATTTGTTGAATATTTGATTATTTAAAAAAAATATATATATATATATTTTGACACATACCTGTGTATGATAAGCAACTGATGCTCTCTGCGAATACTGAGCCATTTTATGCCTGAAGTTGATATTTTTGCAGATTTCAGCCTGTTTATGTTTATCTGTAAGATCTGGGTAAGTGCTATCTGCACCCACAGCTACAGCAAGAAGCCTATGAACAATGACATCAGCATACCTAGAGAGAAAAAGAATGCATTACCTGCACAGAAATCAAACTACCATTAAGCAACAAGCCCTTAGCCTGGAAAACCGTGGCTACACTACAAGCCAACAACTCATGTAACGGCATTTTACAGCATAGGTCTAAATTTTGCATCAAACGTGCCCTATTTGCTATACTGATAATTTGGAAATAGAGGTCTATAGAATGCTCCCTTCTATTACATGGGTGATGTTTTCTTTCTTATTTGCCATTTGATACAGTAGGGTACTAACCATTTATTTGGTGCACCTGAGCTCTTCAAACAAAAGAGAAGGATTTGCAAAGAATTATCCCAAAATCAACAAGTAGCATAAGTTGTTTTAAATGTACAAATTATCCAAGTCATTTATATCACCACTAACATCATTATGTAGGATACACAGGAGAATGATTTCTGTGCCATCACTGTACCTTCTGATTGGAGAAGTAAAGTGTGTGTATATGGGAGAGGCCAGACCATAATGGTGGAAATCATTGTCCATTCCTGAGCAAAAGTAGACAGCTTGCATCATACACCGAGTAGCCAGGATCCTCAGTAAAGTGTTTAGATAAGGGAATTCAGGAGATTCAGCTTTATCTAAAGAATCTGCTAAAGCCTTGGCAGAGTCAGTCTTAATTTCCAAATCCTGTCAAAACAATGAAAACAAACAACACGTACAAAAATTACAAGACACAAAAAAATACTATGAATTTAAAAAAAAAAAAAAGTTGGGATCATAGAATACATGTTGTGAATTCATCACCTGAATGTTAACATGTAAGGTAACCAGATAAAGTGTCTACACAGTATGCCATGAGATGTAGCGAATCAATGATGGATTTGAAAAAATAATGGACCAACGTTCAGCGCAAGGATTCTCATCCAGTGAAAAGCTTCATTGCCATTAGGTGATTTAACAAAGAGAATAGCACATTCTTACTTTGCAAGTTTTCTTACCTATTCAAATCCAAGTTCTTACAATGCATAACATTTTTACAATTTTAAATAACATACGGTAAAGAAACGGTCTTGTAGCGTCTAATGGTGTGTCAAATATACTTTTAAATTCTACACAATTCTAGCTAAAGACTTCTAAAAAAATGTGTACAAAAGAATTTAAAGAATCAGTAATGCTCATTAGATCCAGAGTTTTTGTACTGCTTATCATAAATGCACAGTATTATGGCGTGCCAGAACAAACTGCGCCAGTAAAAGAGCAGCGTGTCTTAGAGCAAAGGATGCCACAATGTGTGTCTGTACAGGCATCAGAAGCGAACATGAACTTGCTTCCAATTCAATACCACTGACAGCACAGTTTAGCATTGAACCCCTACTGGCAAACAGTTGTGCTAAAAGGATTGAGTGTCCATGTCAAAAGGAAACAAAGTACACAAATAAAACTGCATTTTGAATCATGACAACTATGGGCAGTTCCTTTAATAACCTTTGAAAAAATGTGACAAGTATGGAACTGCTTTGATCAGCTTCACTCCTGCTGACACTGCTGTAATGGCTAAAGAACTTTTACCTTGGACCTTGCCGCCTTCACCAGAATGTCATAGTTAGCAGGTGGAGGTGCTGGATGCTTTCGGAGAAGAGCATATTCGGGAAACTCATCATAAATCTTTTGTGCCACAGATATATTTGCAAGTAACATAAATTCTTCCACCATGGAATTAGTTTCTCTGAAAAACAAGATGTATATATAAAAAAAATTTTTTTATGTCAAGATATGTAGCCAATACTGGAGCCGTTAGACATGTGTATTGCCACTATAGATACTTCCTCCAGGAAAACCAAACTTTTTTTTTTTTTGTGTGTGAATTTATTATATTTCTGGACCATCTAAATAAAATGAAAAAAAAAAAAAAAAAAGGAATAATGCTAATAGGTATAAGTAGTTTTCTTTTTCTGGGGGACTGAAACTCACTGCTTCACAATGAAGAGCTAAATTCACGGACTGGTTGAGAGTCATTACACATCCTATTTCAGGTTTTTGTTTTTTATATGTATAAAGCAAAGCACCATTGCAGAAGTGCAACTTTAAACGTATCATTGTATGCGCAATAAACCTAGAATATTGAAACTGATGCCACATATATCATGCAGATTTCAGTTCCCATGAACGTGATTTTTGCCAAAATTGCACCACCTTTCCTATTTGGTTTTTATTCCCACTTAATTTTTCACTTTTGCAACATTTAGAAGGTCTTTTTGTCAGATTTTTTTTAGATATATTATTCCTGATTAGATCTACATTGATTGTGGGAATCTATTTCTTGAACTGTTCTTATTAAGCCGATTCTTATTATTAAAGGTATATATTTTTTTTTATACAGTTTATCTACTTCCTCTCATTTAATTTATGTATTTGGAGCGCACATACAATATTCGAAGTTTTGAACCCTACTTTTCATTGCTATATTCCAATTGACATGGCACAGTAGTTATTTTTCTGAAACTTTATTTAAAAGACAGAATATGCTATCTCCCATGTGCGACTGGGCACCCACAATTTGTCACCTAAACAGGACAGTTAGCTCAGTAATAAAATAAAAAATAACATTCATTTGATGTGCTTGCTAAGGTGGTCAAAGAAAAGCACAGACCAAAGCAGACTCATTTACACACATACTTTAACTCCTTTGTCTGAAGGTCTATGGGATCGTGTGTTTCACTGTCCATGTGAAATCGAACCTCAGGTGAAGAAAGTGTTAAAGCCCTGAAAAAAAAAAAAATAATAAAAAAAAAAATTTACACAGATATCACAGGTAGTTGTTCTTTTATATACCCTAAATCTACTCCCCTGCCTCTCCTCATCAATCCCAGACTCATTTAATGGAATTGAAGCCGTTATGTTGGGATGTGCAAGCCTATTAAACAGGATATGATTGTCAGATGAACAAATGATTATGCTCTTGTAGAAGTGTATTCCACACTAAGGACACATAGCATTTTTTTTTTTACAAAAAAGAAAGAAAAGAAAACAAACAATTAAACATAGAGTTGATAAGTTCTACCTTACACTTCACGTTGTAGCTTTAAAAGACAGGCTTTAAAGACAGACCAATGTAAAGTCATTCCCAAAAACAATTCCATACGAAAGGATAGTGCTAGGCTCACAGAAGCGCTAACATTAAAATAAATATACTTTATTTTAACCTTAGAGTTTTAAGTAAATGAACGAAGACCAAGTGCGCTAAATAATAATGCAATTACAAGCAAGGAACATACACACACACACAATAGGCTGCACGTAATAATATATAAATGACAAAAACACTTAAAAAAAAAAATGAAAAAAGTCAGAGGAACACAGTCCAAAATTTTCACTTATAGCCAAATGGTCTGCTTCTCATAGACCTGGGAGATGTTTTCGTGGGTACACGGAAGAGATAGAAAAGAGAACCAATAGTGTAGTGTATTTTTTAATTTGTGGAAAACAAAGTGTGCATGCCCACTCACATTTCAGAGAGCTTGAAAACCTGCTCTGGTCTTAATAGTATGCAGTGCTAAACCATTTGTAAATAATTAGAAGCAACCCGTTATATTCCTCACTTGTTGTTTAGAATGGTGAGTGTGTAGATTACTTTTCTGCCCCCCCCCTCATTCCAATTAAGTCAACAGTGACAAATTCTGTCCAATTCTCATTAATCATTCTCGTAATGAGAAGCATCAACAGTTTGGGATCATCATTATGCTGTGTGAGATGATGCAGAACTTGAAGACCTTTGGTATTTGAATGTCTTCATGAAGAAGAAGTCTATCTCAGCCTGAGAGGTACTAGCATGGTATTGGACACATGTAAACATTTTAATTTCTCTGAAAAAGGGCATAAGATTTTCCAAACACGTATCTGTGCACCAATACCACTTTGTAAAGGCTGTGCTTAGACTGTCCCTTTAAAAGATCATGAAGAGATATGATCCATGAAATATCACAATGTATGTAATAATACAACCAAACTTCATCTTAGCTTGTGCTCAAGCATGTTTAGTTTAAAGATTGTTACACTTTAAGCAAAAACAGAGAGCTGGAAAAATAGCTTTCCTTTACAATTTCCTTGCAACAACCCTGCATTTTAAATTTGTGTTTTTCCACTATACAACTCTGAAAATGTGAATGCTTGATAAAACAAAAAACTATTTTCCTAAAATTGTATACAGTGTGTGTTTTTGTGCTACCTACATTTAAGTGCAGAAATGTAACAAGAAAAAAAAGTCAATGCCTAGTGATAAACACTAGGACGCTATTCTATAAATGTTGTTGTGTATATTCATTATTTTTTCCTACTTCAAACACATTGAGTGCTTGATCTTTAACTAAAAAAGTCACTTTCTTGTCAAGGACAAATGGCTGAGCTTGAACGGAAAAGGTCACTGAAATAAGCATATTCAATAATTTACCCATTATCTATTCTCTGCTTCTTCAAAATCTTTGCTAATTTATTCAGCAGACGGAGACTTGTGGTAATCTCATCATTCATGGTTGGTGAATCAATTCTCATCTGTGCTTCAGCATATGTAAGGGAAGCCTGCGAGAGAATATGGAAAAGCAACTATTAGAAGATTATAAACACAAAAGTTCTTAAAAAAATAAATCAAGTGTTATTTTATGTTATTTTGATTATTTTTTTTGCCTGACATCAAGAATATTCTATCCCACTCTAGACAAAGTCACTAGAGACATTCCAATAGAAAATCTACCAAACACTGGCTGTATAGGTTTAATTATAACTTAAGGTAGATATATCCTATTTCTTTGTAATTCACAGCATTACCACTTATGCTATCAAAAAATAATGCAATTAAAAAATATTGTTCCTTGCAAAGTCTACTATAACCAGACATTATACCAAATCTAGATTATGGAAGAACAGATTGTTTAAGTATCCACACCCAAACAAAACTCTGATTAAGAGGTCTCACAAAGAAAGACACCTAGTGAAAGGGCTGCCAAATGATCTTATTTAAAGTATCACTATAGTGCCTTCTCCCAGGGCGTTGAAGGGGTTAAAACCCCTTCAGCAGCTTACCTTATTCCAGCACCGGGCTCCCTCGGCGCTGGTGACCTCTCCTCCCCCGCCGTCAGCGGAGCCGAATGCACATGCGTGGCAAGTGCAGCGCGCGCATTCAAAGTGTCCACAGGAAAGCATTTCTCAATGCTTTCCTATGGACACTCTGCGCGATGGAGGCATAATATGCCTCCAGCATCGCAGATGCGCCTCTAGTGGCTGTCTGAAAAAGGCTGGCTTAACCCCAAATGTAAATATAGCAGTTTCTTTGATACTGCTATGTTTGCATCTGAAGGGTTAAAAACTGAGGGACCTGGAACCCAGACCACTTCATTGAGTTGAAGTGGTCTGGGTGACTATAGAGTCCCTTTAAACTATTACTTTATTAGTGAAGTTGACAAAACTGAACTAAATTGGAAAACCGGCCTTTGGGGACTGGATAGCTCAGATGTAAGGTCTTGGCAATCTAGAAAGAAAACCAGTACATTCAAATGTGGCCAAAATTGAGCAAAGTATAACAAAAATAATGAATGCTCTTCAAAACCTTAGATTCTGTGACGGTTTATCTTTATTCAACCCCAATTGCAGCTGGCAACATTTTGACGAAAACTGGTCTGTCAAAAATGCACGTCATGTAACGGAATAAAGGTTACCAGCTGTAGAACCAATCATGTTGAAGACTCAGATTTGTCAAACTCATACTAGGTCTAAGGGGATGATCCTGGAATCCTGTTTGTTTACAATAGTGAGCTACTGTCTTCATTCTGAATCATTAAAATTCAGCAAAGGTCAAATGAAAAAGCTTGAGAAGATGTTGCACACATAAAAATAACAAAACAAACTATGTAACAAATAAAGCTAAAGGTAAAGTTCATATTGCATAGATAGGCATAGATACGGCACTTACTTTGGAATTGATAACACTTTTTGTGAACTTTGTATTTACGATCTTTGCATCATGTGTTAACTCCCAAATACATGAAAATGCCAACCTGAAAATATATACGTAAATAAATATTAAATATATATATATGATAATCTATGCTATGATATATATATCATAGATCATATGACTATAACAACATAAGGAATAACACACTTACCTGTCCACTTCTGATCTTAATGAACATAAATTTGAGCTGAGCAGTTCTGGTACCATGTCAATTCTCTGGGGTGGGGAACAGAAGCACAAATTAATTTGAACATACTGTGTGTGTGTATTGTTAGATCCTGCTACCTTAAATGGGAACAGACATTTCCCATGATCTGTTTGCTCATGTTTGGTGAGGTCTGTAAACTAAATAGAAAAAAATCCAAACATATACAGTCGAACTGGGCATTTATAAATGAGGGAGAATTAACAAAGATGCAAACATTTAGAATAGGGAGTCTAGTTCCGCCTGTTTCCATGGCAAATGTTCCACTTGTAAAGGGATATCCTGGGCTCCTCTACTGCTTTGCTCTGTTGGAGTCTTCAATCTGGCATCATTAGATCCCCATTAAAAAAAATGAAGTGGAAAAAAATACATACCCTGTTTGTGGTGTAGAGGGGCAGAGCAATTGAGAGCTGTCTTTTGAAGTTAAACTGCTCATTAACAGTTCAACACCTCAAGTTAAGTTGGCTACAACTGAGAAATGTTGGTGTCTGTCAACAGAACTATAAGGTATACATTTTCTGACAATGCCAACATTTACCTATTTACATGTTTGTGGTTAATAACTACATTATAACTCCAAGCTGTATGCATGTTTGTTAGCAAATCTCACCTTTTCACATAGATAGACTGTTGTTCCTCTGTTAGACGATTCCTGGTCTAGAGCATTTCCAGGTCGAATAAAATGACTGACGTCTGCAATATGGACACCAACCTTGAAAGAAAATAAATTGCCATATGTTTAGTACAGCAAGCCTGCAAGGAGAAGGAGGGGAAGGCTGTGTGTGACAGCAGCAGTGTGGGGAATACGTTTTATTTACATACCACAAAGCCCACATAAAGTGTTGGGGTCTTTCAACCTGTTATGGGATGCTTCTCAAACAGGGGTATGCAGGAGAGGTGTGCCTTACAGCAAGGGCAACACTTACTGAAAACATGACTGATGCTCTCAGAAGGACACAGGGGTAATGGAAATAAATACAAATATGAAAGGATGAAACACCTAATTGTATAACCTGAATCAGGCAAGATAGTTAGAAAACTGCTATCCTAGATCTGTCATGTCACGTTCACTTTAAAATTAACCTTTCATGTAGAACCTTGTTCTCATGTAACGCAATCTTCTTCATACAGTTCTGAGCAATATGTAAGCATTGCATCACATGAAGACAATGTTCATCACATGTGTGTGCATAGCATGTAATGGGAAGGTGGTAGCAGTAACTCTTGTGTTTTATAATTGGTACCACAGGATGCCTCACCTCAATAAATACATATTTCAATAGCCAGAGTGGTATAAAAAGGTGCAACTCAAAGGAGATGGTTCCTTGCTAATACAAGCATGGAACAAAAACGTTTATTTTATTATTATATATTTCTTTAAACTGCCTCACTTATAACACTGGGGTTTGTCCCTATAGTGGTTCTAGTTTATTGCCAAGTCCAAAAATACATATTAAAATGCTAGATTTGACAAGCAATATATGTTTTACTGCATTAAAGGTCACCTACCTCCAAATTACCATTTTCTAGTTCTCGACAATGTAATGCATCATCAATGTCTGTACACCCAGGAGGATCCACACTGCACACGTAAAGATGTCTCAGGTCAATTCTGTGCTTCATATCCTGCCATTTTAAAATGAAACATTTAAGGAGAAGCAGCAAAAACTTTAAGGATGACCAAATGCAAACAGGAAATATTTGCTTGATCTGCCTTCAAGTCATGCCAAAGTACAAAAGAATGTATATTCCAATACATGAAAAATCATTGTGCAAATAGAATGCATTGTTGAACTGTGGCCATTCACAAATGTGTAACAATACGCCCCCACACAGTTTTCATTCAACACAAAGCTATACAGAAATCACAGCAAGCTAGAAGATGAAAACCACTTTAAATGTCAGGGTGCTCACCTGGGGTGTAATACCCCATGGCATTTTGGGCAGGAAGCTGAGAACAGTCTGGGAGAATGGCTGATGGGGAACATCATGTTCTAGGAGTAATACTTCTGTCTCTGTCTCCTTGTCACCAGCTGTACCTAGGTTCTTAACAAAGTGTCCCTGCAAAAAAATAAAGGTTACCGAGTATGTAAACACATTTGCCAAAAACGTTATATAATTGATGATGTTGGAGTTTATTTTCCATGTCAACGGTTCTATTTGTACACTAGTTTATACCTTATTTGGAATAGAAACCACAGTCAGTCAAGTTTAGGTGTAATTTGGAGCACACATTTTTAAATTAAACATTTTCCCAATTCAACAAGTAAAAATAAAAGTAAAAAAAAAAAAAAATCAGCTCTACGTACATTAGGATATCTGGAGTTTCTGGGCCACCCATCTATAGCAACTATGATCCTCTGGCCCTCTAACGTAGACGCTTGTCTTGTCTCTATGCGGATTCGAGGTATTCTCCGGTCAGCAGGAGTAAACAGATGTCGAGTAGACTAAAAATATAAAATTTCATTTAGAAAGATTTACATATTTTTCATTTTCTTGCAGGATATATTTGCAATTCTGCTTGTACTATCCTTGATCTCCTAACCCATTTTTCTGTAGCACTGTTCCATTAGTTCCAACCTCACTCTTGGGTTGCTGCAATACACTTCTGGACTTGATATCCATCTTTTGTTTTTAAACCTAACAAACATATGCATGTATTTTAAATGACACAGGATATGTTACATAAAAATAAAATACATGGAATAGTTCCTTTAGACCCATCTACTCCGATGAATTACTATTTAAGTGGCTTCCACATGCATATGTTCTGTAACCAGCTGTAAATCGTACATCATTTTTTACTCCTATTTTTAAAATATTCCATACATACATACTAGAATTTGAAATGAAAGAAGAAGATTGCAATTACTTAGCAGAACTAACCTCTTTAATTTGAGATTTGGCAAGCATGCCACAATATGGTCTCCAATTTCTCTTTATGATTCCAACAACCTTTCCAGATGGTTTTGCTGTGCCCTGTACACCTGTTTTCAGCTGCAAAAATTGAATCAAATTCACTACATTTATAAATCAAGTTACTGTGAAGCTAAACAAAGAATTGTATGTAATTAAACTATATTTGGCATCAATGATGAAACTATTCATTTGGTGATCTACAATGTGTACTAGCACAATTGCATATCATGCAATACTTCAAACAGGGAAAAAAATATGGACAGAGGTGTCGCACTTCTGCATATTTTAACGTTACTAATAAAATTGCCCTATATGTGACAGTGTACATTATTTAAAAAGATCTGCATATGTTACTTCAAGGAACATCATTAAAACTATAAATGTCTATTGCTAATGCTTTAGTGTTTCTTGGTTTACACCCTTTTCCAGTGCCAACACTCCCATGGCACTGATTAATTCTCCTTCTGTTGTGGTGCCATTGGGGAGACATGGTCTCCTCTGTCTGTTTTAATCTACAAAAAACAAAACACCTACCATTTTTTCCTTTTCCTCTGTGGATTCAATATCATCTGCCTCTCCATCATCTTGCAGAACAACAGATGATGGTGCCACCCAACTCTCCTTTTCCAACAACTCCACAGCTACAATATCTTCATGCAAGGCCCGATTTATATTTCTCAAACCTTGCAAAATTATCTGGGTAGAAAAGACAAAAAAGTGTCACTCTGTCACTGTTACATGTAAATCCATTGCCTGAAGCCATTAGCTTGTGCAGAAGTGTGAATTTATCCCAATGCATCTCTGAAGCCAGAGTGATATATAGCAAATATTGACCTTCCTTTCTATCTGAAAGGATAGAACATACTATCCTGCCTGGTATCTATTTCACATCTTGCAAAGAAGGTAAAAAGCAGGGAAACATTTAAAAAAATAAAAAAAAGGATACTGCACTATATGACAAAACATTTTGTAAATATTTCTCTTGTTCAAATTCACTTTGATATAGCATCAACAACAAAAAACAAACCACAATTGCAAACTAGTATTCACTTACAAAGCTACAACTTTGTCCTTTATAGAGAGAGGCAAAACACACTTTTATAAGAAATGTTTAGAAGAAATGAAAGGAAAGGACCACACCAATACCAAATCCCCTCTTAAGGCTTAACAGAGCATTCCCTCTTATGAAGTGGTAAGCAATTGCAGGTGCAAAACAGTGCTTTATATTTCCACCACTGGATTGGCTCGCAGATCATCAAGTACTGATTTCCCAAAAGCAGAGAGGAGCTATGGCAAGGAGATAATGGAGCCTGCTACATGTAAGGTAAGCAGCACCTTCCCCCCCCCCTTCTTTATTTCTACAGGACCCAACACCAATCCAGTGAAATAAATGTACTTAGTTCATCATTAATTCATATTATTAGCAGATTGTTGCACAGTTATTAGTAGCAGAATAAAAAAAAAAAAAAAAAAGTAAAAAAAAAGTTTTCAAATAGTTGATCTTCCTGCTTATGAAATAGTCCTCAGTGAATGCACAGCATTGGGATTCCCATTAATCACTTACAAAGTGACTAGAATGGGGCTTGGTTCATAAGTTAAACTTATGAAAAAAAACACTACAACAGGTCGTACCTTTCCTCATATGTCAAAATAATTGTTTGGAGTGTGCAGTTCTTGTCAACACCAAATTACTACTACCTCTTCTGGTGCTGCTGAATGGACATAAACTTGAAGAATTAGTATGCAGGTTTTTTTTTTTGTTGGTTTTTTTAATGTGCTTGAAAATGGTTCAATACGCTGGGAGGCCATATCATTTCCTAACGAGATTGGTTTTAAGGCACTTCTTAAAACGATTGAAGACTAGGGGAGAGTCTGATGGTGGTAGGCAGGCTATTCCATAGGAAGGGAGCCGCCCGCGAGACGTCCTGCAAGCAGGAGTTGGCCGTACGGGTGAGAGCAGCGGACAGGAGAAGGTCACGGGCAGAGCGGAGAGACCGAGAAGGAGCATACCTATGGATTTGTTAAGAGATGTAAGAGGGGCTAGAATTGTTCAGTGCTTTATAGGTATGGGTTAGCACTTTGAATTAACTCCTATAGGATACAGGAAGCCAATGTAAGGACTGACAGAGGGGTGAGGGGTGAGAGGAAAATCAGTCTGGTGGCAGCATTCATTACAGACTGTAGCGGGGCAATATGGCCAATTAGGAGAGGGTTACAATAATCTGTGAGAGAATTTACTAGAGCATGGACAAGCTCCTTGGTAGCATCTTGCGTAAGAAAGGGGCGGATGTGGGCTATGTTTTTAAGATGGAATCTACAGGATTTGGCAACATGCTGGATGTGAGGCTCAATTGAGGAACTGAGACATACAAGTTAAGACAAGTCTTTCCAGAAGCTTTAAGGAAAAAAAGAGAGCAGGGTTATGGGATGATAGTTAGAGGTGGAGGACGGGTCAAGAGATTTTTTTTTTCCAGCATAAGTACTAAAGTGGCATGTTTAAGTTCAGCAGGGACAACGTCAGAAGAGAGAGCAGTTGAAAATGTGTGTTAAGGAAGGCACAAGAGAGGGGAGGAAGAGATCGGATAAGGTGAGATGGGACAGGATCGGGCGGGGGAGTGGTGGGGCGAGAGGAAAGGAGAAGTGCATCCACCTCTTGTTCAGTAGCCGGGAGAAAGTCTGAAGGGTAGGAAAGGCATGATCTATGTATGTTTGAGAAAGAGAAAGGCAGGGTGGGTAGAATTCTTTCCTTAGCTGTTCAATCTTGTCGGTAAAGTAGCATGCAAAGCTATCGGCTGTAAGGTTAGTTTGAGGGTGGCCACAGCAGGGCGAAGAAGAGAGTTAAAGGTATCAAAGAGACGCCTGGGATTGCGGGGGCATAAATTAATGAGAGAGGAAAAGTATGATTATTTGGCAAGGGCAAGGGCTGCGCTGTATAAACACAATATGAATCTATAATGGAGATAGTCTGCCTCGGTGCGAGACCTGGGTGCGTTCAGCACAACCGGAGCCTCTTTGCAGATAGGGTTGATTCAGTATGTCACGGTTGGGGGTGTGTCTTCCTCGAGGTGCATGTTTGGAGCGGGGCTGCAGCGTTCAAGGCCGAGGTGAGGGTAGTGTTATATGTGGAGATGGCCAGTGAGGGACAGAAGAGTGATGGGATGGATAGCCGTTGTGAATCAATATTTGAAGGTCAATAGAATTAAGGTTCCTCCTGAGCTGAGGGGGGTTAGGCAAGGGGGTACTTGAGAGCAAACGATAAGAGAGAGGAAATGGAGTGTTACAGATATTAGATACTGTACATGCATAAGAGAAAATGAGGTTGAGGGTATTGCCAGCTACATGGGTGGAAGAATTAGCCCACTGTGATTGCCTGAGGGAGGAAGTAACAAAGTAGTTTAGAGGCTGCTGAAGTCAAAGGTGGGTTAATGAGAATATTGAAGTCCCCAAAATTAGGGATGGAATATTAGAAGAGAGGAAGTAGGGTAGTCAGGCAGCAAAGTGATCAAGGAAGAGGAGATGGGAACCAGGGGGGTGATAAATAATGTCAATGTTAGCATAGAAGGGTTTGAAGGGGCAAATCAAATTAATTTCAAATGATGGGAAAGAGAGGCAAGGGGGGGGTTGGGCAGAGGTTTGAAGGAGCAGTGAGGTGAGAGCAGAAACCCTACACCACCACCTTTACATTCAGAGTGTGTTGGGTTGTGGGTAAGTTGAAGACCACCAAAGGATAAAGATGCAGGGGTAGCAGTGTCAGAGGGGGAGAGCCATGTTTCTGTTAAGGCTAGTAAATCTAGGGAACAAGATGAATAATAATAATAATAATATTGCAAACAGAGCGTGCATTCCAGAAAGCAGTATTGAATGAGGTTTTAGAGGAAGAGTAACATGAGATGTGGTGTGGTTCCTTGAGTTAGTACGTGGTGGGTTTGCTGAGATGCTTAGGCTTTTCTGCAGGGCTTGGTTGTTTGTGAGTACTGGGTGTTGATGTCAAAAGTAATATCCACATGAATGCCAAGACCAAAGATTTCCCAGCAGAACATTTCCCAGAGCACAACACGGCTTTTGCAGGCCTGCTATCTTCCCATAGTGCACCATTTTGCCATGTTTTAACCAGGTAAACGACACAAACGCACGTGGCCATACACCTGATCTAAAAGAAAACATGATTCTTCAGATTAGGCAACCTTCTTCTATTGCTCCATGATCCAGTTATGACATTCATTTGGCCGTTGCTAGTGTCATCAAGGGCACTCTGACCAGTCTGTGGCTGCACACCCCTTATGCAGCAAACTGCAATGCATACCGGGAACACCCCACAAGACTTGCCGTTTTGGAGATGCTGTGAAACAGTCGTCTAGCCATCACTATTTCGCCCCTTGACAGATGTCACTATAACAACATAATCAATGTTATTCACTTAACCTGTCAGTTGTTTTAATGTTGTGGCTGATGAATGCATATCACATCACTGAGGGGCATTGATAGATATACTCCCCAATGACAAATGCATAATTAAATGCATGCATGTTTTCCTTGGTTTTATTTTTTATTTTGGCAGTGGCATGTTCTTTAAAGGTAATATGTAGGAGTATTTAATAAAGCTTTTGTTGCACCCCGCTGCCCTCAATTGACTAAGACAGACTGGGAGTGTAACTCACCATACCTCTTTCTGCTCTGCACCATCTCCATGAACCCACACTGTAGCCTCCAGGTAATTATCTCTGCTGGCCCGGAAAGTTCCTTGCAGGTAAGTGCCAGATTTTATGCCCTGCTGCAATTTGGACAAGGGAATATGCTCTATAAAAATAAGCTTTCCACTTTCTATTTCATTCTGTGAAAACAAAAGGAAAGAAATAATTTTTAGTATACAGACATTTCAATGTTAACAGTTCTGGTAGATACTTTATATTGCTGCTTATTTATCATACTGCGCACAGGTTACAATTTCCCTAAAGGGTTACTTAAACCACCATGATCACTTTGAGGATTTGAAGTGTTCTTATTGCCTGGATTCTGTATGTGCAGTGGTTTGTTACGAAATGCCTCACAAACCCTCTGCGTCCAGAGGTGTAAATTCAGCTCTGGCAGCATCATTGGGGTATCTTTAGCCAGCCCAGAACAAGAGTTCATGCTAGCCAACATAAATTCTGTGCATATTGGACGTTGGTCATCAGAACGCACATCATGCTGATAAAAGCGTCAAATGGCAGCATGCCCTCCAATCAGTACGTTATTCCCCCTTACATCCCTCCCTTGCTGCGGTGTAGGAGGGGGGTGTATGATTTATGTAGTACACAGATTCAATCATTTTAGAAACACAATGCAATTATCAATATGTACAAACATGGGATTTACATGTCCTTTCAATTACAACATAACCAGATGAATATGCAATGTAATACAATGCTTAGTTTAAAGTGCACAGTGTCGTTATACATCAGATACTGATACTAATCAGTTTTTACATCTGTCTACAAATTGTATTTTTTGCCAAAGTTTTGAGTATTAGAAGCCAGAAAACACAAGCAGTCTTTCCAAAATAAAGAGTCCACAGATGGATGCTTCTACAGTTTTAAAATATATATGATAAATACCTTACAACAAACGGCAATTTCACACCCAAGAGAACTTTTTGAAATGAGCAGAAGAAAAATTTACACGAATAATACAACGGAAAATTATCCTAAAAATAAGACGAAACCCAGGTATAGATTTTATGCAAAAGGGGGATTCACAAAACATATAAAAGTGTTTCAACTACTTGAACTGCAATAATATGTGGCTAGTCTATAAACTTTTATAAAATAAAAATAAAAAATAATACCTTCTCATCAGACACAGAGGCAAGACGATCAACTAGTTCAGGATTAGCAACCAGACTTTTAATGTATTCTTCACCTGAAAATAAAAAGCAAAAGTAGTTTATGTGTAGTAGATTCCTTACATACAGTGGTTTAAGGGTTTCCCCACTTGTCAAAGGCACAGCTTACTAAATGTCTACCCTTTTGGGATGTTGGGGGGGGGGGATTTAGAGCACAAAATTGTGTAAGCCAAGAAAGCCATCAGTAGTATGTATAGCTGAATTCAGTACAAATCGCAGATTGTGAGTTGGTTGTAAATTTCAACTAAAAGCCTGAGATCACAGCAAATTAAATAAGTACTGTATTTACTGGCTTTGTGCAGGTCTCTGATAATGGAACAGTGTTTTTTTGCCAATAATTGTTGGAATTTTGAAAGACATTTATTTGCAAGGCTTAAAGGCAAAAAAGTATCTTTCAGAACAGCTTTCTGAGGTCAAGCTATATAACAGAAGCAGCATCCACGCAATCTGGCCCTGTGTGGGGGAGTCTTAGACCATGTAACCCTAAAGAAGGTTTTTATTTTTACACCTTTACCATATCAGAACATCTTATAGGTTCTATTTTAATGTATTCAATTAAAAGGATATATGGACATGCTAACTAAAAATGTGGATGATTCCGATCATGCTGATAAATGAAGGGAAAAAAAGAAAAAGAAAGAAAAGACTCAAATAAGTTAACAAGAATAAATATTTTGCAACAGTTGTCATTCAAAGTTTTCGAGATAAGAATTACACTGGCCTCATCCATGGGGGATAAAAAGGTCACTATGATAAGTGAATATTAGATCATCAACCACAGTAAAATTCACATTCAGCAGATAGTGGAACAAAAAGGCATAATTCATTTGACAACAGTAAAATGTCTGACACGTGGCTAAATGCAATGTAAACAATGGCAATACAGCTGTGAATTAACAGAAAAATAGACCTTTTGTATTTTATTTCTTTACAAGTATTGTATTATTAATAAATTCATTCCTGATACTCACCTAAAGTCCTGACCTACTTACCAAAAGCTTGGGGGAGGCAATCTAAGGTGGAGGTGACATTGGTCAGCCCTCAAGGGAGTTCAGGAACCTAGAAGTGCTTTAAAACCATTATATATCCTGTGAGTGCATTCTTAGTAACACATATAAACTGTATTAAACTATATTTTCTTTTTCTGCAGATTCACAGCTGTGTATCTTCATTATTTAAAAATTGCATGACGGCCATTATCTGGTAAGGCTCTGGGGAAACTGCATAGAAAATATAAGTTGTTTGTGTTTTACTGCACCTGACACTTATTTGGTGAGGGACACACACACATGCTCTCTCTCTCATATATTGACTGGAGTCTATTAACAAAAGGTTGAAATGCCCAAAAACTTACAAGGACAAGCTTGTCATAGGATATTGTCTGATGTAAAATTAAGAGCGAGTTGAGACACTAAGATAACATGCAGCAGATTATGTACACATTCTTAGAATGTACATGTTACAAAATCAACAGTCCTGTGTGTAAAATATAGGAAATTAGAAGCAGCAAAGAATTTGCTACATTTATTAGGGGAAAGAACATAATACAATAAATTAGAGAATTCAAATAAACTTACATGTGTATGCAACAATGCCCTCATCCACTGCTTTTTCTTTGTTTTTCCTGTCGTTGGTAATTAAAAGTACCTTGATGTCAGCCACATTTTCAGACTTTTTAATGTGGTTATTATACCATTTTGCTGCAGTTCGTATTGCCCGATCATTTCTATCATTAGACGTTTCTCCTTGCTCTTGTTCAATGTACGTTTCTCTAAAATGTAAAAAATAAAAAATTAAATGTAATAAATGCTCTCATTATCAAACGCATTTCCTATTCAGAAAACCAAGCAAATTGCAAGCCATTTAAGCCTGTCATGGTATGCACTACGTTAATGGAACACTATAGGCACCCAGACCACTTAATCTCATTGAAGAGGTTGGGGTGCAGTTTCCCTGTCCCCTTAACCCTGCAATTTAAAATATTGTAGTTTTAGAGAAAATGCAATGTTTACATTGCTGGGTTAAGCCTGCATCTAGTGGCTGTCTTCCAGACTGCGCACGAGTATGCTCAGCTTAATGTGTGCGGTGGCGCTCGCCGTACATGAACATTAGCATTCCTCCTCAGCGTGGATGAGATGGAAAATTATTTCTATCAAATATGTATTTTATGGAAAATCTACATCAGATGTGGTCTCATCTTTCAATTCTCTGTAGAGGGCTATGATCACCATGTAGATGGCTTACAGGAGTTCAAACTTGCGCTCCATCACATCAATAAAGCACGAGCTGTGGTGATTATGAACATGGCCACTGCTGCCGGGGAGAGGGCATTAGGTACTCATCTGATTATTATAGTTAGGGCCCTCAACCACCACCAATGGGTGGGGGCCAGGACACTATGCCCCCCCCCTCCCCCAAATTTTATTATAGACCCCACCTGCTAACCATTAGGAGGGTGGGGGTGGTAAATGGTGATCTCTAACCCATCATTTGTTTGCTGCCCAGTCATTAGGTTTAACAGCTTAGTAGACATGCGCCCACCTGCCACATGGCTGATAAGGGCACTGGGAGGCTTTAAACCTTCCTTATAGTAATATATGTCTTTTTACCCACCATAGGGGTTTTTATTTTATTTTTCCAATTATTTAATGTGGCAGTTTTCAGCCGTCAATTGGCGTTTGGCTAAAATCCAAATCAAATTCAGTCCAGTTTGCGTCCTAAATTACAAAATCGGGAAGTTGTTAAGTAGTGTGACCAATGTCAATTTTTGTAGTCTGAATGGTCCCACACATAGCCAGATGGTTTTGCCCCATTTGGTACGGGGTCATTTGAACTTTAGTTAATTACCTCTTTAGTTTCCTTTAAAGAAGGATTTTTTTTTTTTTAAACTACAAATGTATGTAGACTATTGGTTAATCTAGTCTATAATAACAAAAGTAGAGAATTTAGTGAGGGCCTCACAAAGCATCTTGTTCATTAAACAGAATTTAATTTGGTTCACTCTTTAGTGGAAGCAAATGGTATGGATGTTATGAAAAATGTAAACTTTACCTATGATGCTCATTGGTGAACGTGTAGAAATATTTTTCTGAATTATTTATAATATCTCGTACTCTTTTGTAAACCGGTGCACTACGACTTCTGACTTCTTGAAGGACAGTCTGGAGCAGAATCACATTCTGAATGACAGGATCTTCCAGGATATCAATCTACAAACAAACAAAAAAAAAAACTGAACTGAAAACCAATATTAGATATAGATAACATTGCAATTGCATATGTTTTTGCAAACATTTTCCAATAATGTTCAGCCATGTTGAAGTGGCAGTTTGAAAGATGAACCACACACAAACATGAACTTATTTGAGGAGACCCAGTGCCCTCCACCAATTGATAGCACGTGGGGATCCTAATTATATAAATCAGGGGGAAGATATAGTGCCCCTCCCCAAGGTGGCAGGTGGGGGCTATAATTAATTTTTTTTTTTAAAAAGAGGGGGAAGATATGCTATTTTCCCCTCACAAATTGTACCATTATCTACGCACGTAGGTGGCTACGTGTCTCCAATCCCCTAGACCCCCTCCATGAAATAAAAATGACCATACCTACCGCACTCACCTGATAATGGGGAAGAGGACCAATAAAATAAATATCCGCAAAGTAAAATTTATACTTAAAGGACCACTATAGTGCCAGGAAAACATACTCGTTTTCCTGGCACTATAGTGCCCAGAGGGTGCCCCCACCCTCAGGGACCCCCCCTGCCGGGCTCTGGGGAGAGGAATGGGGTTAAACACTCACCTTTCTACAGCACCAGACGGGGAACTCTCCTCCTCCTCCTCTCCGGCTGAATGCGCATGCGCGGCAGGAGCTGCGCGTGCATTAACCCAGTCTCAAAGGAAAGCATTCATAATGTGATTTTCACAGTGAGAAGCAAGCAAACGCCTCTAGCGGCTGTCAATGAGACAGCCACTAGAGGCTTTAGAGGCTAGATTAACCTATTTATAAACCTAGCAGTTTCTCTGAAACTGCTAGGTTTATAAAAAAAATGAGTTAACCCTAGCTGGAGCAGGCACCCAGACCACTTCATTAAGCTGAAGTGGTCTGGGTGCCTAGAGGGGTCCATTAACTATCTGGACTCCTTTTTTTATTCTTATTTCCAGCCCAGAAAAAGCGCAAATAAAAATCCACCGTCCTGTGACACAGAGCAAAAAAATCCATTAAAAACACGCTGGAATAAAATTAATCTTTGCGTTCTTATAAAGGCTTTCCAACACTATGTCATCTATTACATCATGTAAGAAAATTTCACACAGAATGAAATATCAGTTTAAGTGCTCTGATTGATTGGCTTGTAAACCAATCAGAGCGCTCTGACAGCGAAGTTTCCCTATTCTCAAGACGTTTCTGCAGTGTGAATGACAAATGAAAACAGCAGGGTGATTTTGTCCCATTTGAACTTTGTTTTCATCACTTTAGCACAGAGCAGTTGTTATTTTCACTGGTTACTCCTATGACTGGGTGACATTACCAACACAAATTAAGCATTCAAAAATACCACTAGACTTCTCTATGGAAAAAGTTCTTAAAAAGGGACACACCACTGCAAATACAAAATATATATATATTTTAAAAATCAATGTTTATCTAATATACCCCAGATGAAAACATGCATTTTTTCGTTGTAGTTATATCTAAAAACAGCTTGCAAAAACTACAGATCTCTTGTCTGCTGCCTTTGCAAGTCCTCCTCTTCTAACACCACCCAGACTTTTTGTGGCTGTCCAGTCACAGACTTCCCAATGCAGCTCAATATGAAGTCTTTGCAAGGCAGGTGCTCTGGGTAACATTTTCTTGAGTTCAGTGCAAATAAGCTAACTAAACCAGTATCAGGACCTGTTGTCTTCTTGAAAAGCCAGGGGGTATAACCAGTATAATAAAAAGATAATTTATAAGTGTCAAATTGTATGGAAATCTGTACTTTTTCCAAAATTAAAAAAAACTTTTTTTCAGCATGCTAAAGTGCCTTAGGAGTCTGGAATGTTCTTTTAAGATGAAATTTGGATACACAATATAACTGTACAATTAATTAACTATAATATTTATAGTACCTGGTGAAGCAGAACATTGGTGTCTGGTAGCAGATAGTGAGGTGATGCACACAGCGAACTCTGTAGGACAGGTTCTAACTGTAGAACTGGGCTTTCCTGCTTGCACTCCTCACATCCTTTGCAACCACATGTAATGTCATCCCGAAGGTAATGTTCTCTGACAATCTTTAATATCCCTCCAGAGCGGGTCTTCTTCATAAATGTTTTTGACTTCAGCATGTTGTTTGTTTTCACGTCCTGTGATGAGATTAGTATAAAAAAAAACCCCCAAAAACGGTCCCATTAAGCAAATAGAGATAAAACTGACATCTGACAGTTATATGCATTTGTTATTCTGAATTGAAGTGTACAAATAACAACCAGGAGATGGTGTATACATGATTAAGGCTTATTGGAATAAACATTTGTTTGCAGTGTCCCTGTTACCAATAACCTAGACTTGATGCACCTATCTTGTTGAAACTACAATTTACTTTGAACGAAAAGAAAAATGCCATGTTTAACATGCACAATAAATGCTCTGGCTATGTGGAATAGCCCATTTTAAGATAAATGACCATCAAAAGAAAAGTCCAGATTAATTATTTTATTTTCACAAAGAGGTTACCAGAATCTGATCTCACTAAGAAGCACATCTAACTTTGAAAATAAAAGGTATCATCTAATAATATGAAGAGGAATAGCTAAAACCGAAGCTAAAAACTTTTAAACAATTGAAGTAAAAGTGAGCTCAAATGGAGAAAGTGAGTAGCTCTGTGTTTGTAAATATATAAATGTAGATTGGATTAGCTGTTAAGTGTCCAGTAGACAAGATGCCAAAATACCAGATTATTGCATTAAAGGACCACTATAGGCACCCAGACCACTTCAGTTTAATGAAGTGGTCTGGGTGCCAGGTCCATCTAGGTTTAACCCTTTCTACTGTAAAAAGCAGTTTCAGAGAAACTGCTATGTTTACAACTGGGTTAATCCAGCCTCTAGTGGCTGTCTCATTGACAGCCGCTAGATGCGCTTCTCACCGCCAGCGTCCATTGGAAAGCATTGAGAATGCTTTCCTATGAGACTGGCTGAATGCGCACATGGCTCTTGCGGCGCATGCGCATTCAGCTGATGACGGCGAAAAGGAGGAGTAGAGTTCCCCACGCCGAGGGAGCCCGGCGGCGGTAAACAGGTAAGATTTAACCCCTTCCAAACCCTGGAGCCCCGCAGGAGGGGGACCTATAGACCCTATAGTGTCAAGAAAACAAGTACCTTTTTCTTGGACTAACATTAAAGACAAGCTTTCAAGAGTGTTTTCTCTCTTCCTCAGGTCTGAAACAATACTGATCAATCTGATAGAGTTAACATTTAAATCCACTGATGGTTTTTATTAGCTTATCTCCTCTGTTTACTACTTATTCTGGCCATTCTCAACCAACCCAATAAAAAAAAAGGAATCATTGCAATACTCTGATATATATAATCCCTAAATAAGATGATGTGTATATGTGCACAGGATGGCTGTCTGTAAAGGAGCAGATTAATCCGATCTATAAGCAGCCTTTCCCTGCCTCACTCTGACATACGGTTGAGGAGTGGGGCCGCCGAGCAGAATGTGAGATGGTGAGGGTGTATGGAATGGCTGGCTAATAATAATAATAATAATGTATGATACCCAGCTAGCTGCTCCCCGATACCCACAAACAATCTGTAAAGTAACAGCACTACCTGCTCACCCAGCACGCTTTGCAGGCTCAGTCTGCGCATGTGCGCACCACACATGGCTGCGTAATAGGAAGAGGCGGGGCAGGACCATAACGAGGCGTGGAACGCACAGCAGTCCAGCAGTCCAGCCAGCGCCATGGAAGAGATCCATAATACAATGCCAGTAGAGGCATTCTGCTCGCTATACTGTCACCGAGCCCAGTATGGCGGGTGTGTGAGGGTCTATCTTTATTAAACGTGTGAGTTATAAAGCGATTAGTTACGGTGTGAGAGAGAGTTACTGGGGACTGTCTGGAGTACTGAGAGTTCACACCCAGCACATTAAACCATGCATTGCGCAGCGCTGGCCGGGGATGGATTCTCCAGCTCGGCTAACTCATGATAATGCTCTGCATGTGGCTGAGTGTGCTGAGACTTGACATCCATAGCTTCCCCAGTGACAGACTTCCTGGGTTAGCCGAGACTCTGTTGGTTGCCATGGGTTACGGAGCGCTGATTGGGCGGACTGCGTGCCAGGGGCGTGTCTCCGTGCTGCGCATGCGCCCTTTGTGCTCGTGGGAATGTTATGGTTCCGTACGGCGCGAGGAGCAGCGCGAGACACAGTAACGGCTGCCAGTCAGAACGGTATGAGAGGGCTCGGTATTACACTGTATTATACTGTATTACCGTGTTATACTATATTATTACACTGTATTATACTGTATTACCGTGTCATACTATATTATTACACTGTATTATACTGTATTACCGTGTCATACTATATTATTACACTGTATTATACTGTATTACCGTGTTATACTATATTATTACACTGTATTATACTGTATTACCGTGTTATACTATATTATTACACTGTATTATACTGTATTAACGTGTTATACTCTATTATTACACTGTATTACCGTGTTACACTATATTATTACACTGTATTATACTGTATTACCGTGTTATACTATATTATTACACTGTATTACCGTGTTACACTATATTATTACACTGTATTATACTGTATTACCGTGTTATACTATATTATTACACTGTATTATACTGTATTACCGTGTCATACTATATTATTACACTGTATTATACTGTATTACCGTGTCATACTATATTATTACACTGTATTATACTGTATTACCGTGTTATACTATATTATTACACTGTATTATACTGTATTACCGTGTTATACTATATTATTACACTGTATTATACTGTATTACCGTGTCATACTATATTATTACACTGTATTATACTGTATTACCGTGTCATACTATATTATTACACTGTATTATACTGTATTACCGTGTCATACTATATTATTACACTGTATTATACTGTATTACCGTGTCATACTATATTATTACACTGTATTATACTGTATTACCGTGTTATACTATATTATTACACTGTATTATACTGTATTACCGTGTCATACTATATTATTACACTGTATTATACTGTATTACCGTGTATACTATATTATTACACTGTATTATACTGTATTACCGTGTCATACTATATTATTACACTGTATTATACTGTATTACCGTGTTATACTATATTATTACACTGTATTATACTGTATTACCGTGTTATACTATATTATTACACTGTATTATACTGTATTAACTATATTATTACACTGTATTACCGTGTTACACTATATTATTACACTGTATTATACTGTATTACCGTGTTATACTATATTACACTGTATTACCGTGTTACACTATATTATTACACTGTATTATACTGTATTACCGTGTCATACTATATTATTACACTGTATTATACTGTATTACCGTGTCATACTATATTATTACACTGTATTATACTGTATTACCGTGTCATACTATATTATTACACTGTATTATACTGTATTACCGTGTCATACTATATTATTACACTGTATTATACTGTATTACCGTGTTATACTATATTATTACACTGTATTATACTGTATTACCGTGTTATACTATATTATTACACTGTATTGTATTATTTATTTATAAAACATTTTACCAGGAAAGATACATTGAGATTTCTCTCGTTTTCAAGAATGCACTGTATTACTGTATTATGTTACCGTATTATTACATTATATTACTGTATAACTATTACTGTGTATTACACTATTACTGTATTATGATATTACCGTATTATACTGTATTACTGTATAAATACACTACCATATTATTACACTGTATTATTACATTATATTACTGTATCACTATTACTGTATTACTGTATAAATACACTATTACTGTATTACCATATTATTTCACTGTATTATTACATTATATTACTGTATCACTATTACAGTATTATATTACCGTATTATTACTGTATTTCTGTATTACACTATATTACAACACTGACTTCTATAGTACTCTGTATTACAATATGGCCTTCTATATTACTCTGTATTACTAGACCGCAGGGCTTGACAAATTTATTGGGAATCTAAAAGCCAAAAAAAAAAAATTAGGAGCCATTTTTTTTCCACTAGCAAAGTTTAATTGTAATTCTGGAAGGGACACTTTAGTCACTAGAACCACTACAGCTTAATGTAGTAGCAGGCTTTTGAGAAAAAGGAAGTGTTTACATTGCTGGCTAGTAACACCTCCAGTGACAGTCATTTAGATGGCCACTAGAGAGCCCAGGGTCAGTGCTGTACAGTGTGCGGCATCTACGTTCCGCGTCTACATGGAGGTGCTGAATGTTCCCCATAGAGATGCATTGATTCAAAGCAACTGTATGAGGAGATGCTGATTGCTACAGCGTATTTTTTGCTGTACATGCACAATATCCTCCCAGTGCTTTCCTGAGATCATAAAGATTGAAGATCTTAGGCATGGAGGTAGTACCACCCTAGGCGAAACCGGCACGGCATGGGGAAAAAAGGTGAAAAAAAAAAAAAAAAAAACACCTTACTCTTGCTATTTGTAGGGGCAGGTACGTACACACACTCTATGCAAGAAACACCCACTCTCCGAATGACACAGACATTTTCAAACAGACTCACAAATTGAAATTGTTATTGAAAGCCTCCGGCCCACTAGCTTTTGTGAGAGCTGATTTACTCTGCTCCTCTGCGTGCGCACTGCAGTGATGCCAGGGTTGGAGTGATGTCAAATTCTGGCTCCCGGGATCATTAAACCGCACCACCTTCAATGCTCCCTCGGCCGGCCGGCTCTAGTATCCCCCCTCGGTGGTCCTCTTAGCTAAACAGCTTACAAATCATAGGCGTCAGGGTGATATTTCTAGGCAACCTAGCGCGTGGGATTTGTCTAGCCCTGTCAGCTCAGCTTTCATAGTAGTTTGTATTACAATAATGGTTTCTATAGGACTCTCTGTGTTACAATACCGGCTTCTATATTACTCTGTATTACACTGTATGATAGAACTTTCTTCTATAGTACTCTGATTTACCAGACCGGCTTCCAAAATATTATTCTGTATTAGACTGTATGATAGTACTGGCTTCTATAGTACTCTATATTACACTGTGTCAAAAGAACAGCTTCTATAGTACAATGTATTACACTGAACTGTATTAATCTCACAGCAACACCTAGTAATTTATTCTAATAAATGCTGTATATGGGCTCTGCTTTATATTGTACTGTAAGGGTCACTACTACTGTTAAACTGTCACTGCTTCATGAAAAACATCTTCTTCCTCTGACTTCTTTGTGACCTCTGACTTTTTCCAATATCTGGGTCTTTTTTATTTATTTTTTTTCTTTCTTTTTTTTTATTTTATTGTGTGCATCAAACTTTTATCGAATTAAACAAATCATATGTTGTCTGTGTTATACTGTACTAGCCAGGTCTTCTTTTGTTGCTTGCAATAGAAGACCTGTTCTATATTATTTAATATAGATCTTACAATTTCATTTTGAAGCTCTATGCCATTTGCCAGCCCTTAACAGTTACTTACCACTGTAAGACATAGCATAGTCATCTGGGGTGAATTTCTGTTTAACAGGGTTACATTTTCTATCACCAATGGCTAGTGGTAAGTGGACATTTTGATCATTATAGACTACTGCATCATATATGTGATCTCTGGGAATTGTGTTATATGGACTTCATTTTTACTGTTGTATTTTACAGTAGGGGTGGTCAAACTAGAGATATCCATCAGATCTAGATCTACTAGAAGAGCTACCTGCTCAGTTGAAATAAATCCCTCACTTGATAAATACCAAAGACCGAATTTCTGAGGAACTCTGCATACATAACACTTGTATGGTACTCCACATACAAACATTTTTACGTTTCAGGTTTGAAAATAGTAGACCATATTTGTCAAAGCAATTCTAAAAGTGTCCACCTTAAAAAGCAAATCATGAATTTTTACCTTCTTTCATGTTTTTTTCAATTAACAGTTCCATTTATTAAATCGTTAGTTACTGCAGAAACTGAAGATGTCAAGGAAAATGCCCAGGAAAGTAAATATCTCAAGCTCATTGGAATCTGAGGACATAAGCCTGGAGACCACAGTGCCCACAGATGATGTCTCTTCCTCAGAAGAAAAAAATGGTTCCACCAAAATTACCAGACAGCTTATCGAAAGGAAAGAAATGCTTCACAACCTCCAACTTCTGAAGATAGAATTGTCTCAAAAAAACCTGATGATTGAAAACTTGAAGGGGGAATATCTGACCAAAGTAAGTGTTATTTTGGGTGCTTGGATGCCACTGATATTTAACCGGTACTGATTAATTAATTATAATTAATCGGCTAGTATGTTCAACACCTTAGCTGCTAGACCATTTCTTAACTCTGCACTAGAGAGGTTTTTAGGCTTTAGCTCTCATTACATTTAAACTGTCAGGTTTTTTTTCCCCCCATCAGATTATGCATTTAGGAAAAACAGTTTATAAGAAAAAATGGTAAAAACAAAATAGGAGTTCTGCCTTCATAAATATTTCAAAGGTATAGCTACTTTCACATTTAAAACAACTCAGCACTCACTATTTATTTTTAGGTTTTTGTTTTTTTGTCTTTACAGATAATACATTAACTGAATGTTGGCTTTAGTTTACTTCGTAACCATCAACATTACCATAGCTAGGCATCTTGCATACAACATATATACTACAATACACATCTCTGCTCTCATGGAACAGTTTGAGTTCCCTGCATCCGCCGATTGCATATTGGTACCAAACTCTGATAGATTGTGAGCTGATTATACCCTGTGACGAATACAGCTATTCTAAACATAATAATGCGAGAATAGGATAAGCAGAAGAATGAGTCTGAAATAGATATATAGCTAAAGAGAGAGGGAAAAAAAAGGTCTCCAAACCCTCTCCCGCCCATGCCCGCT